TAGTTAATAGAATGCAGGGGGGAGTCTCCATCTATTTAATTAATGAATTTAATTAGCTATTAGAATGCAGCGGGGGTCTCCAGCTATTTAATTAATGAATTTAATTAGTTATTAGAATGCAGGGGGGTGTCTCCAGCTATTTAATGAATGAATTTAATTAGTTATTAGGATGCAGGGGGTTGTCTCCAGCTACTTGATTAACGAATTTAATTAGTTATTAGAATGCGGGGCGTCTCTCCAACTATTTAATTAACATATTTAATTAGTTAATAGAATGCAGGGGGGGTCTCCAGCTATTTAATTAATTAATGTAATTAGTTTTTAATTTAATTCTATGCCATAACCTAACACATATTACATATTATATATATTCTATTATATATTATATATATTTTACTTATATTTTATTGTAAGTAAACCATATTTATATTTACTTATAGTTTATTTTATATATTGTAAAATTATATTATATATTTATGTATATTTTATTGTATATATTATAAAATTATATTTTATATTTACTTACATTTTATTTTATGTATTGTAAAATTATATTTTATGTTTATGTATATTTTATTTTATATATTATAAAATTATATTTTTTATTTACTTATATATTATATTTTATGTTTATGTATATTTTATTTTATATATTATAAAATTATATTTTTTATTTACTTATATTTTATTTTATATATTGAAAAATTTATTTTATATTTATGTATATTTTATTATATATATTTTAAAATTATATTTTATATTTACCTATATTTTATTATATATATTGTAAAATTATATTTTATATTTATGCATTTTTTATAATATTTATTATAAAACTGTATTTTATATTTATTTATATTTTATTATGTATATTATAAAATTATATTTTATATTTACTTATATTTGATTATATATATTGTAGAATTACATTTTATATTTATGTATATTTTATTATTTATATTATAAAATTATATTTTATATTTACTTACATTTTATTTTATGTATTGTAAAATTATATTTTATGTTTATGTATATTTTATTTTATATATTATAAAATTATATTTTTTATTTACTTATATTTTATTTTATATATTGTAAAATTATATTATATATTTACGTCTATTTTATTATATATATTATAAAATTATATTTTATATTTACCTATATTTTATTATATATATTGTAGAATTATATTTTATATTTATGTATATTTTATTATATATATTATAAAACTGTATTTTATATTTATTTATATTTTATTATGTATATAATATATAGGCATTATGCCACTATTTCTATTTTTGATCAATAACAGAAATAAAGAAAACGATGTTAATAAAACAGACATTATGCCACTATTTCTATTTTTGATCAATAACAGAAATAAAGAAAACGATGTTAATAAAACAGAATTTTCTAATCTTATACGCATATAACATTTATTTTAATATTTGTGAAAAGCCAACGATATAATCTGTATAAAAATAATAATAATATATGAGATATGTTATAATATATTGTATAAAAATAAAATTATTATTTTATGTATTTATATATATTATTATTATTAAAATATAAATATTATTCATTATAAAAATATATTTTATATATTTACATATATTATTAAGTTATTAATAAAATTAATATATATTATAATATATAATATATAATAGAAATATATATAATACACATAATGATATAATCTGTATACACATAATATCTAATTATATTATAATACATTATATAATAATAAACATTAATAAATTAATAATAAATTAATATGTTATAACAGATTATAATATATAATACAATAATAAAATAATAAAAATTATAAAACTAATTAGTTATTAATTAAATTAATAGAAAATAATCTGTAATACATATTATATAGTATATATAATATAAAAAATATATGATATATTATATATTATATAATATATATATTATATATTATAGAATATATATTATATATAATATATAACATATATAATATGTAATATATAATATATAACATATATAATAGATCACATATAATACATAATATATAATATATAATATAAAATTTATAATATATAATATATAATATATAATATGTAATATGTAATATATAATATATAGTATATAACATGTAATATATAACATGTAATATATAATATATAATATGTAATATATAATATGTAATATATAATATATAATAGGAATAACGATATAATCTTTATATACAAAATAATAATATACAATGTATATTCTAATGTACAATAATAAACATTAATTAATTAATAACAAAATTAATATATAATAATCTATTATATATTAAAATACATAATGTAAAAAAAGAGTAAAATTAATTAATCAATAATAAAATTAATATGTATTACAATATATAATAGATATAATATACATAATGGTATAATCTGTATATACAAAATAATAATATATAATATATATTATGATATATTATATAATAAGAAACATTAATAAATTGATAATAAAATTAATTTATTATAACATAATACATATTAAAACACGTAATGTAAAAATAAAGATGTCTAATTAATCAATTAATAATAAAATTGATATATATTATAATAGATAATATATGATAATAATAAATGTAATGTATATAATGATCCAATCCGTGAACATCACAAATCCTCAGCGGAACATCCGAGTGGGGGAGGGAATTTATTCCTTTATGATGTATAATTTATCTATTTATCATTTATTTGTATTAGATTCAAATGAATTTATTTCTTTTTAAACGGATTTATTTATTTTTTATTTAAAATATTTATTTATTTATTTATAAATAAATAAATAAAATTAAATATTGTATAATAATTAAATATTTTATTTATCATTTATTTATTTAAAATGTCTTTTATTTATTCGTTTATAAATAATTAACTTATTATTTATTTGTAATTTTTAAAATTTATTTATTATATCTTTTCATTTGTTTATTTAATAATTTCGTTGGTTTTAATTTATTTACTTATTATTTATTTATAATGTATTTTTTAGTTGTTTATTTATTTATTTATTTGGGGGTTTTATTTATTTATTATTTTAACAGTATTTTTATTTATTTATATATTATTTATTTTCAATTTGCTTGTTTATATTTATTTATTTATAATATGTTTATATATACTAATTATTTATATTTAATTTAAATTAATATAATAAATATATTTATATTTTATAAATAAATTTATATTTATATTTATATTTATATTTATATTTATATTTATATTTATTTTTATTTTTATATTTATATTTTTATATTTATATTTATATTTATATTTATATTTATGTTTATGTTTATATTTATATTTATATTTATATTTATACTTATATTTATATTTATTTTTATATTTATATTTATATTTTTATATTTATTTTTATATTTATATTTATGTTTATGTTTATGTTTATATTTATATTTATATTTATATTTAATTATTAAAATATATTTAATTTACCGGCTCTGTAAATTTAAATTTATCTTTTTATCTTCTAATTGTCTTTTTTTAATTAAACTTTTAATTTCTATAAAGATTAAGTGAATCTGGTTTTTCACAATTTTTATCTCTTGTCTTTTTTTAATTGAACTTGTAATTTCTATAAAAATTAAGTTAATTTCGTTTTTCACGGTTTTTATCTTCTAATTGTCTTTTTTTAATTAAACTTTTAATTTCTATTAAAATTAAGTGAATCTCGTTTTTCACAATTTTTATCTCTTGCTATTTTAATTAAACTTTTAATTTCTATAAAGATTAAGTGAATCTGCTTTTTCACAATTTTTATCTCTTAATTGTCTTTTTTTAATTAAACTTTAAAATCCTATTAAAAAAATTATTTGAGCCTCCCTTTTCACAATTTTTATCTCTTAATTGTCTTTTTTTAATTAAACTTTTAATTTCTATTAAAATTAAGTGAATCTCGTTTTTCACGATTTTTATCTCCTAATTGACTTTTTTTAATTAAACTTTTAATTTCTATAAAAATTAAGTTAATTTCGTTTTTCACGGTTTTTATCTTCTAATTGTCTTTTTTTAATTGAACTTTTAATTTCTATAAAAATTAAATTATTCTAGTTTTTCACAATTTTTATCTCCTAATTCTTTTTTTAATTAAACTTTTACTTTCTATAAAGATTAAGTGAATCTGGTTTTTTCACAGTTTTTATCTCTTAATTGTCTATTTTTAATTAAACTTTGAAATCCTATTAAAAAAATGATTTGAGCCTCCCTTTTCACAATTTTTATCTCTTAATTGTCTTTTTTTAATTAAACTTTTAATTCCTATGAAAATTAAGTGAATCTGCTTTTTCACAATTTTTATCTCTTAATTGTCTTTTCTTAATTAAACTTTTAATTCCTATGAAAATTAAGTGAATCCGCTTTTTTACAATTTTTATCTCTTAATTGTCTTTTTTTAATTAAACTTTTAATTTCTATGAAAATTAAGTGAATCCGCTTTTTTACAATTTTTATCTCTTAATTGTCTTTTCTTAATTAAACTTTCAATTTCTATAAAAATTAAGTGAATCTGGTCTTTCACAATTTTTATCTCTCAATTGTCTTTTTTTAATTAAACTTTTAATTTCTATAAAGATTAAGTGAATCTGGTTTTTTCACAGTTTTTATCTCTTAATTGTCTATTTTTAATTAAACTTTGAAATCCTATTAAAAAAATGATTTGAGCCTCCCTTTTCACAATTTTTATCTCTTAATTGTATTTTTTTAATTAAACTCTTAATTTCTATGAAAATTAAGTGAATCTGCTTTTTCACAATTTTTATCTCTTAATTGTCTTTTCTTAATTAAACTTTTAAATCCTCGCTTTTCACAATTTTTATCTCTTAATTGCTATTTTTATTAAACTTTTAAATTTTATTAAAATAATGTGAATCCCGCTTTTCACCATTTTTATCTCCTAATTGTCTTTTTTTAATTAAACTTTGAAATCCTATAAAAAATTATTTGAGTCTCCCTTTTCACAATTTTTATCTCTTAATTGTTATTTTTATTAAACTTTTAATTTCTATTCAAAAATTATGTGAATCTCGTTTTTCACAGAGGAACAGCCGGGATTCCCTCGGGATTCTGGGATTCCTTCTGGGATTTTGGGATTCCGGGAATCATTCTGGGATTTATTCCAGGATCCATTCCGGGATCCATTCCGGGATCCATTCCGGGATCCATTCCAGGATCCATTCCAGGATTCATTCCAGGATCCATTCCAGGATCCATTCCGGGATTCATTCTGGGATTTATTCCAGGATCCATTCCAGGATCCATTCCGGGATCCATTCCGGGATCCATTCCGGGATTCATTCCAGGATTCATTCTGGGATCCATTCCAGGATCCATTCCGGGATCCACTCCGGGATCCATTCCAGGATGCATTCTGGGATTTATTCCAGGATTTATTCCAGGATCCATTCCGGGATTCATTCTGGGATTTATTCCAGGATTTATTCCAGGATCCATTCCAGGATCCATTCCGGGATCCATTCTGGGATTTATTCCAGGATTTATTCCAGGATCCATCCCGGGATTCATTCTGGGATCCATTCTGGGATTTATTCCAGGATCCATTCTGGGATCCATTCCAGGATTTATTCCAGGATTTATTCCAGGATCCATTCCAGGATCCATTCCGGGATCCATTCCAGGATGCATTCTGGGATTTATTCCAGGGTTTATTCCAGGATCCGTTCTGGGATTCATTCTGGGATCCATTCCGGGATCCATTCTGGGATTCATTCCAGGATCCATTCCGGGATCCATTCTGGGATTCATTCTGGGATTTATTCCAGGATCCATTCTGGGATTCAGTCTGGGATCCATTCTGGGATTTATTCCAGGATTTATTCCAGGATCCATTCCAGGATTTATTCCAGGATTCAGTCTGGGATTCATTCCGGGATCCATTCCAGGATCCATTCCGAGATCCATTCCGGGATTCATTCTGGGATTCTGGGATCCATTCCGGGATCCATATTCCGGGATTAATTCCGGGATTCATTTTGGGATTCTGGGATTCATTCCAGGATCCATTTTGGGATTCATTCCAGGATCCATTCTGGGATCCATTCCGGGATTTATTCCAGGATTGATTCCAGCATTGATTCCATGATTTATTCTGGGATTGCGGGATTTATTCTGGGATTTATTCTGGGATCCATTCCGGGATCCGTTCTGGGATTCTGGGATTTTTTCCGGGATCCATTCCGGGATTTATTCCAGGATTTATTCCAGGATCCATTCCAGGATCCATTCCGGGATCCATTCCAGGATTCATTCAGAGATCCATTCTGGGATTCTGGGATTCATTTCAGGATTCATTCCAGGATTTATTCCAGGATTCATTCCAGGATTCCGTGATTCATTCTGGTACTAATTCCGGGATTAATTCCGGGATTCATTTTGGGATTCTGGGATTCATTTTGGGATTCTGGGATTCATTCCAGGATTCATTTTGGGATTCATTCCAGGATCCATTCTGGGATCCATTCCGGGATTTATTCCAGGATTTATTCCAGTATTGATTCCAGCATTGATTCCATGATTTATTCTGGGATTTATTCTGGGATCCATTCCGGGATCCGTTCTGGGATTCTGGGATTTTTTCCGGGATCCATTCCAGGATTAATTCCAGGATCTATTCCGGGATTCATTCCAGGATCCATTCCGGGATTCATTCCAGGATCCATTCCAGGATTCGTTCCGGGATCTATTCCAGGATCCATTCTGGGATCCATTCCGGGATTCATTCCGGGATTCATTCCAGGATCCATTCTGGGATCCATTCCGAGATCCATTCCGGGATTAATTCCAGGATTCATTCGGGGATTCTGGGATTCATTTCAGGATCCATTCCGGGATTTATTCCCGGATTTATTCCAGGATTTATTCCGGGATTTATTCCGGGATTCCGGGATTTATTCTGGGATTAATTCCAGGATTCATTCGGGGATTCTGGGATTCATTTCAGGATCCATTCTGGGATTTATTCCAGGATTTATTCCGGGATTTATTCCGGGATTCCGGGATTTATTCTGGGATCCATTCCGGGATTAATTCCGGGATTCATTCGGGGATTCTGGGATTCATTTCACGATCCATTCCGGGATCCATTCCGGGATTTATTCCAGGATTTATTCCAGGATTTATTCCGGGATTTATTCCGGGATTCCGGGATTTATTCTGGGATCCATTCCGGGATTAATTCCGGGATTCATTCGGGGATTCTGGGATTCATTTCAGGATTCGTTCTGGGATTTTTTCCAGGATTTATTCCGGGATTTATTCCGGGATTCCGGGATTTATTCTGGGATCCATTCAGGGATTAATTCCAGGATTCATTCGGGGATTCTGGGATTCATTTCAGGATTCGTTCTGGGATTTTTTCCAGGATTTATTCCGGGATTTATTCCGGGATTCCGGGATTCATTCGGGGATCCATTCCGGGATTAATTCCGGGATTCATTCGGGGATTCTGGGATTCATTTCAGGATTCGTTCTGGGATTTTTTCCAGGATTATGAGTGACAGGGGATGAGTGACAGGGGACAGGGACAGGGACAGGGGACAGGGACAGGGAATGAGTGACAGGGAATGAGTGACAGAGGATGAGTGACAGGGGACAGGGACAGGGGAAGGACAGGGATGAGTAGGGGACAGGGACAGAAGGGACAGGGAATGAGTGACAGGGAATGAGTGACAGGGAATGAGTGACAGGGGACAGGGACAGGAACAGGGGACAGGGACAGGGAATGAGTGACAGGGGATGAGTGACAGGGGATGAGTGACAGGGAATGAGTGACAGGGGATGAGTTACAGGGAATGAGTGACAGGCAATGAGTGTTTATATATTCGTTTATTTATTTATAATATTTATAATATTTCTTTATTTATTCATTTATTTATTTATTGTTTTAATTAATTTATTAATTACTAGAACGGGATACGCAGTAGGATCCCGTTTTTAAAGGAACAATCCTTTCTCGGCGAGGTGAGCGCAGAGACCCCCGGCCGGCTCTGTAAATTTAAATTTATCTTTTTATCTTCTAATTGTCTTTTTTTAATTAAAC